TGTACCACGTCCACGGTCCTACTCTGGAAATGATGATGCATACAATGGACTCCGGACTAGGTGCGTTCTTATAAGTCTTCCAATTAATTTGACTACATTGCGAAAACAAGATCAAACAACTTCTAAACAAATATTAAAGCTTGGCCAATTTGTGAAATCAATAAATTAATATGGCTAATTTTCGATAAATAAAAAATTAGGATCCCATCAGTTAAAAGAAAAAGCGATAAATAAAAGTTGTAAGATAATGTAGTGATACTAAATAATGATGTAACACTATTGCTATAATAAGAATACAGATGATGTTGATGCCAAACTTAAGTCAATATAGAAGATATTTGGGAGAATAAAATGATTAATCCATGGATTGATTCAATATATAGGAAGATGGAAGGCATAAACAAGTATTTTTTTTCCAAAAACAGGACACTATGAAATTTTTATACAGGCTGTCTTTTAAAAAAGCCTTATTTTATAAAGTACTGTCAGGGAGAAAGAAAATAACTAGGACAATCAGTAGAAGACGAAGTTAATATCCCATTAAATAAAATCAAGTTAAAGAAAAAAAATGCAAATATGTAAATTAATCTGCAAAGTTAGGAATAGATGAATTTTATTATTTTGGGAATAAAACTTTTGGTTTTGATTGGCAAAAAGGACCAGCACCAAAACCTAAATAATTTCTTTAACACTAGTTATTTTTTCCTAAATATAAAATAAATTTTTTGAAATATATTTAGATAAGCAACGAAATACTCTTTTTATGGCATGCGCAAATACTCAAAATTCTAACGTTGAATAGTGTACTTTGTTTTATCCTAGATATTTTTGGAGCGTCTTTTTATTGCGATGTTTTGCTTCTTTTCGTTACGTATACTTTTGGTGATATATATTCCTGGTTTCCTAATTTTGTGAAATAATGAATGAGGATCTCTCTATTTCTGATGAAGAGTTTTTTGACTGTGAGGAAAACGGTACTTCTACTTGTTTTTAAAAATTTAAAATAGTTAAATATTATGCGATAGCCTCTCCTTATGGCAAACCTAACAGAGGGGTGTTTCAAAACTTTGTTAGTGCATCTAAGCAAATGAAATCCTGTAAGGAATCGCGTTTGCGAATTTTTTCTTCTTACAATGATGCATTGGAGTATTCCAACAGCTTTATTGGCTCTTCATTCCCCGAGGTACTCTTTAAATGTTTTATTGCTATCAAGCCTAAAAATAAAGGAGAATATTGTCCTTTTCGTAATATAAAGCAGGCAGAATACTGCAAATTTAGAACTGCTATTGAACGGGGCGATATTGCTTTTATATCTAATTGCATCCTCTCAAACCCTTTGTGGCTTGTTACTTCTAGTGATTCTCCAACACTCCTTCAAGTACATTTTTGATTTATTCATATTTTTAAATCTTCATCTATTTTTGATAAGCCTTTAATTTTGTCTTTTTTTGTTTACTTATAGCTGCGCTTGCGCTACAATGCCTTGCATATAGCTGCCGCTGCCGGGCGTAGTGAAATGATAAGTCTCTTTCTTCAGTATCTTGACTCCGTCGATATTTGGCAAGCCCTTTATCCGTTTTCTGATATTGAAAATTGTCTTTCTCGCCAAAAAAGGGTGTTAGACTTTTACCTGAATAGTCCGGAAACTGGTGTACGTTTGTTTTTATCTTTGGAACGTAACCTTTGGCGTAAATGTAGTTTGCTCGATAGAAAAGTGTTTCTTTTATGTATCTTTAACTATCCCTTGCATTTGCTTATATTATGTTCGTCTTTCCATTTATAAAGAACTTAGAGACTCCTCTCCACTTTGCAAGCAAGTTTTGTCGCCCTGGTTGTGTGCGTGCCCTTCTTAGTCATCCGTTAACGATTCCAACCATACGCAATAGAGGCGGTTTTACTCCTCGTGAAGTGGCTGCAACTCGCTGGTCACGAAAATTAATGGGTGATGATACAATCTCATTTGGCAATTCAGGCAATCAATTAACCGAGGCTAAATGCGCTGAAATTATCCTCCAGATCTTTGACGAGCGGTAAAGACATTAATTTGTTTAAGATTATGCTCATCATTTTTTGTATTTATTATTAGTTTCATCAGTTTAAAATTGATAAATTTAAGTTAATAAAAGTTATTTGAACTTGTTTTCGCAACTTAGTCACATTGGTAGGAAGACTTAGATGAACGCACCTTGTCTGGAGTCGATTGTATGCATGATCATTTTCAAAGTCGTACCGTGGACGTGGTACATTCTCAGACGTTTCACCGGCATCGTTAGTGAGTTTTGCCATTCATAGCACCATATTACAACTCGACAAAGAGACAGGTGAAGCCGATCCTTTGATCAAACGTGTGCTAAACATTTATGGTATCTCCTCTTCTGCCCTGGCCTATTCACATTTTCTATATCCTTCAATCACACCTTCACTGTCACAATTTTTTGCTTGCCTAATTAAATGTGGTACGGTGTGCCATTTTGAGCGGCTTTCATGAGAACCCTCCGCACTCCACACTTGCCTTCTCACCCCTCTTCATCCTTGTGCTGGGAATGTTGATCAGTCTGCCATATTGTTACGCAGTCCTCCTTCCATAGGTCTTATCGCAGGTGTTATTACCCCTCCTTTGCAGCTGGGTGACTAATTCGAGGCTAAAGCCTTTGAGTAAGTCTCATGGTCAGGCCTTTTTTACATGGACCACGTCTCTTATAGACCCTAATGTCAGCCCACTAGCTCCCATCGCCGCCGCGTCTATGCTGTTTTTATCTCTAATACCAAGTCTATGACTTGCCAGGCCCTAGTATCTTGTGGGCCAACCCACAAATGCTGTGGTACTGTTTGAGTTGGTTAGATTCATTGTTGAACCACATTCTTGGCTTTGAGGTTTCAAATAAATTAAAACCATATGCATGCTTACCTCTATTTACTGTTAAACATATGACCTTATTAATCTGGGAATATATGACGTAACTTCACTCGCACTAGTCTATGATATTAAGTTATAATTTCAATCTTCTTCATTTAATCGAAAATATGAAGGCCAAGATGGTGTGGCCTTTTGTGTGGTCGCAGTCTCCTTTCGTTGTATAGAAGTTGTTTGTTGTTTTCGCAACTTAGTCATATTGTTAGGAAGACATAGATAAACGCACCTTGTCCTGAGTCCATTGTATGCATAATTATTTTTAAAGTCGGACCATGTACTGGGTACATTCCCAGGCGTTTCGCCGGCATCGTCGGTGAATATCGCCATTTTCAGAACCATACAACAACTGGTCAAAGAGACAAGTAGGCCCATCCTTTGGCGAAACGTGTGCTAAACAGTTGTGATATCTCCCCTTCTGCCCTGGGCTATTCACATTTCATGTAAACTCCTATCACGCCTTCACCGTCACAATTTTTTACCGTGCTTAATTAGATGTGTGCTAACACACAAATGTTGTGGTATTGCTTGCTTTGATTAGATTCAATG